TCGCAATTGTTGCCAAACACAAATCCAAGCCAGCACATCTCCACACACTGGCCCACTTGGACTCGATTATACAGGCAATGTCAGCCGACTCCTGCACAATCAAGACACGGAGGAAGATGTATTCATTTATACCTCAATCTTCTGTTTAATAGCCTATTAGAGGCTAGGACATCAAGAATCCAGTAACCTAGCACTGGGTTTCAATGCAGAGGACTGTCTGGCAAATGGGAATGTGTCAACACATCCATTCACCTTGTGAGTGTCTGCCCCTCACGTTCTTCTCATATCTTCCTCCTTCCCATCTCCAACAGCAGTTCTTGCCCACAGCTCCCCGTACCCCAAAGCTCAGCCGCCCAAGCCATGGGGCTAAATACGCACATTCTCACTCCAGAATTCCAGCAATCAGAAGGGTTAGGCTGAAAGGGGTACTACCAAATAAAAGTAAATGTCCCTCAATTTTCATTCCTACAAATATCCAATTCATTCATCCAATCCTAAAGAAAAGCAGCTAGAAAAAATAAAAGGTGAGGAAAAATAAATAATTAAAACAGTCTCCTTCCATATATATATTTTTTTTTCAAAACTGCCATCTCCTTTTGCTGGCTGATTTTGTCACTTATCATATTGACCCATCCTCTACTCCAGTGTTTCTTAATTTTGGCCGCTCAAAGATGTCTGTCTAGGAAATTCTGGGAATTTAAGTCTACAAATCTTCAAAGGCACAAGGTGAAAACACTAATCTGTTCACATCCATGATTAAGCTAACATTGAGATATGGGAGCACTGCATATGCGATGCATACATGAGGCAGAACAATGGGTCCAGATTGGGTGGGAAAAATTATAATAAAAGTTCTTGCACCCCTTTTGCAGAAGGTTTCTGCTCTGGGCAATAATAGAAACAGTTAGAAATATTTCTAACTTCTAAAACAATTACTACCAACCTGCATTCCATGGAGGGCCTGTATACTGCATGAGTCAAAAAGAGGATTGTGAAAATATTTACAGACTCCTCACATCTTGGACATAAACTACTTCTACTCCTACCCTCAAAACGATGTTATAGAGCACTGCACAACAGAACAACTAGACACAAGGACAGTTTTTTCCCAAACTCCCGAACTCCGCTAAACAAATAATTCCCTCAACACTGTCCAACTCTTTACAAAGTCTGCACTACTATTACTATTAATCTTCTCATCACTCCTTGTCACCAATCCCCTCCCACTTGTGACTGTATGACTGTAACTTTGTCGCTTGTATCCTTACGATTTATATTGACTGTTTCCTAGTATGATTTGATTGCTTATTGTACCCTATGACTATTATTAAGTGTTGTACCTTATGATTCTTGACGAATGTATCTCTTCTTTTATGTACGCTGAAAGCATTTGCACCAAGACAAATTCCTTGCGTGTCCAATTATACTTGGTCAATAAAGAAAAAAACAAAGGGGTAGTAATTGCAATGGAACAGATTTCAGGATTCCGGCAGTTACCCCAATTAAATCACGAGTCTCGAGCAAAACTTCCAAAACTTCAAAGGATTTATTGGGAGTTAACATTTCCGGCTGCCTGGGTGTAGCCGACTCTGAGTCACATAATTCATTGTCACCCTTGACCCTGGTTTTCCCCCACCCCCTGGTGTATCATAATTCATATTCTCCAATGAGACACATCCATAACCAAGAGTCATCAGTCGTGTTCTCCAGTTAGATTTTTGCGGGAGCAGAAACTTCAGTCACCTAGTTACTATCTCTGAAAAACTATGTATGGAATGCGCTTTCGGTTTCCAAGTTTCCGCACTACTCTTTCAAACTCCTTTCCCCCCTCCCTTTCTTTTGGCAATTCTAAAACGACCATAGAAATATTTTATGAATTGACAACAGGCTTAGAAAAGAAACAAATACAATTCCTGAACCAAATTGCCAGTCTCACTGCTTTACTTTTAACATCAAACTAACCTAATCCCAATGACAATGATTAATGACATGATATAATTGCTTACCTATTAGATACTAGAATTGTAGTTTAGAAAATCTTGCAGAGTTCAGAGTTGCAGCCTACATTGTCTTGTCATATTAATATGGCAACCCATTTATTTGTTTGCTTGAGGCATTTCTTTTGCTCTTCAGCAAACAGAATTCCAAAGCAGTTGATGCATAATTAATAAAAACAAAATCCTTGTCTGCGGTCTAATCCAGTGATGACAAACCTTTTGGTCTTGGCATATCAAAAATTTGGAAAATCCCTAATTGGACTCTGCTAGCATGTCACAAACACATATGCCCGAACAAAAGAAAAACAATTCTCTATGTCCCCTTAATCTACAGCAGCACTCAGTGACAGCATGAAGTTAGGCCTCAGCATTGACTTCAGCCCTAGTGCCACCACTGCCACTCAAATAGGTCACCTCATGCTGTTCTCCAAGATGTGCAAGCCTTGGGGAACATGTGATTACTTCTGTGGACCACCATTCCCCAGGATTTGCTGCATACCACTTATCTACAGGTGGTGGTCTCTTTCTCTTGACAGGCCCCTGTGGCCGACCCAAGGCTGCTCTAGGCCACACAAAGCCTTTGCTCTGGAAGCAGCTTTGGAGCTTTTCTGTGGCCGCTGAAGCCTCCAAAACTATGCAAAAGCATGTGTCATTCATTCTGTTGTGATTTTTCAAAGGCTCTGCAGGCCGTGTGACAGCATGGCCCTCATGCGTGACTTCAAGAGCATAACCCCATTCTTAAACAGTCTCTGTAGGTTCTGAAAAATCACCCAAGAATAGGTCAAGCTTTTGTTGTCGGATGCTGTTGAAAACTGGCACGTCACCCAAAACATGGTGCCGTATCTCCTTCGGGCATATGTGTCAAAGGTTCGCCATCACTGATCTAATCCCAATAAACCAGGAGTGCTTTTCTGTACTGAATGTGTATAATAATTTAGGGGCACTCAGACCTTTGAGGTTAGTCAGCACCTTTAACATCTTGAAAGCAAGTGGTGGACTGCCAAAGAGAAATGGAAGTTCCCATTCATAAACCGCCTAATTGGTACATGAAAAAATGTTTTGTCCAAGTAAGAGTATTATTCATGACTAAAAGACACCTCAATTGTTGTGAGCTGGTCAAAAATATATGCATATAATACAGATTGCCATGGTTTCAAAAAGAAGGGTGTTTTGTCTTTTATTTTATTTTTTTGGTTGAAGAATCGATGACTCAGCAGGTGCCTAGCAGAACAATATGACCAGTTTCTGTTAGGGAAATCCTTCCTACAAAAACAAATGCAGTTCTAAACTTTTAACACTTTAGGAATATGCAGAATCCTTTTTATGTTTAGGGAAGATAGCTGTTTTGTGTATGAAATACAGAAGTCTGTGTCTTGCAGATTAAACAGGAATATCCTCTATTTATGGATCAAAAGATAAATGAATGAACTTTACCATTTTCAGTGCAGTTCCCATTGTTTAGCTTTTGACTACTGCTGACTTGTCTCCTTTTCACCCCATACAACCTACAAGTCAAATAAGGCTGTTAATGTTTTTTCTTTTAATTGCTTATCTTGTTACTAAAGAAGCAAATTGGAATCAAGTGAGATCAAAGAGAAAGAAATACTGAGAACAATTGGTGAGAACACAATTTGGTGCAATTGTAAAAATTGACACAAAATGAATTCATATTGCCAGTCTTTCTTTCTAATACTCATTGGACACTTTAAGAAACTTTAAGAAACAGAAAATAAGCTAATTGTTTTTCGTTCTTTCCTGGTGAAGCAAGAAAAAAATGTGCATGCACTATTTATTTAAAGTGGCAAATGATAACTATCACCAAGAAAATCAAAGAAAGATAGTAGAAGCACAATTACATTCTATATAGTAAAGAGGTCTTCTAAGATGCCTTAGGAGATGTAATTTATTTATATGAACCTATAATATTTAGAAGTTAAACTTTAGATTAACAAAGCAATCATTACCAAACCAGAAGGCTACAGAAATTGATAGATATCTATGCAAAGATGAGAAGCGACAGCAAGAAGAAGAATAACAAAAAAGAATCTGTAGAGGTTGTTATCAATTATTCTAGCAAATCTGGAGAAAGAGACAGTGGCCAACAGATTGGAAGAGGTTAATCTACATACCAATGCCAAAGAAGACTTAACAGAGTATGGAAAGTATTGCACAATACACCTAGTTTCACCCAAGAGTACACAATGCTTAAGGTTCAGCCAATAAAGATTAGAGTCCTACATAGAAAAGGAGATGCTAGATTCTTCAGATGGTCTTGCAAAAAGCTGAGACAGTATTGCACATGCACACTGGATAATTCAGAAAGTCAAAGAATACCAAAAGGAAATAAAAATGTGTTGTTGACTACAGGTAGTCCTTCACTTATGACCACAATTAAGCACAAAATTCCCATTTCCAAGCAAAATAGTTGTTAAGTGAGTCTTACTCAATTTTATCATCTATCTTACCACAATTGGTAAGTGAATCACTGTAATTGTTAAGTTAGTAACACAGTTGTAAATCTAGCTTTCCCATTGACTTTGTTTGTCAGAAGGTGACAAAAGGGAATCACATGTCCCCAGGACACGGCTATCATTGTAAATACATGCTAGTTGCCAAGCATCCAAATTTTGATCATGTTACAACAGGAATGCTACAATGGTTGTAAGTGTGAAAATAGTCATAAGTAACTTTTTTCCATGCCAATGTAACTTTAAAGGGTCACTATATTGATTATGTTGACCACATCTATTATAGAATGTCCTTAAGAATATGGTAATCCAAGAAAATCTCATTGTCCTCATGTGAAATTATACACAGCAACAGGAAACCCTGAATCAAACAGAACATGGTGAAACAGACAGGTTTCATATCAACAAAGGAATGAGACAAGATTGTATATTGTAATCTTAGTTATGCAACCTGTATGCTGAATATATATTGACGGAGCCAAGTCTGGAAGAAGATGAGTGTGATTTTAAAATTGGAGGAAAAAACTTTAGTCACATGTCCTATGCTGATGGCACAACTCAGTTAGCCGAAAATGCAAACGATTTGAAAACTTTCATAATGGAAATCATGAAGAGCATGAAAAGTGTGATTAAGAGTAAATGTAAAGAAGGTAAAACTAATGACAACAGATAAAAGCAAACAACATTGAACTATCAATGAAGATATTGAACTAATGGGTAGTTTGCAAGGGGTACGGTTCCTTTCTCGATTGGGCACAGCTTATGAGGCTCCATTTGAGAAAAAATTGGAGAAAAAATTCCAAATTAAAAAAGCCAGAGGCTTGAACTCAGCTTTAGAGAAGTTTGGCCTCTCTTGCATGCTTCTTTAAGTATAAATCATTTTGCATCAGTGTTTTTGAGATGTTTCCTTTTTTCTGCCTTCACCTGTGTCCAAAATACCAGCCTGGCAAAACCATTTACCTGAATTACCAGAGAATTCAATGAGAAAGTTACCAATGGCGGTGAGAAGTGATTGAAAGCAAAAGGGTTAATGCTCAGGGCAGTTAAATTAGTCTGTTTGCTCTGCAACTGCAGAATTTTCCAAATCAACCAGTTTTTGCATTCCATTTCAGACCGAGGCAAAGGTCGTTTGCCAAGGTAAATGCCATCTCTGTGCAGTGTCCTTTTTCTCACCTTTCTCTCTTCCCTTTCTTTCCCTTCCCTCTTCTCTTCTCTCCTTCCTTCTTTCTTCCCTTCCATTCTCATCTCTCTCCTCCTATCCCCTCCCTTCCCTTTCCATTTCTTCCCCCTTTCTTTCTTTTTTTGATTCACCTTTCCTTTTCCCTTTCCTTTCTTCCTTCTCAACCCCTTTCTTACGCTTTCCTCTTTCCTTTCTTTTACATATATTTTTTTTTCCTTTTCTTTCTATATATCTTATTTCCACTCCCTTTCTCTTACCCCATTTAAAGGCAGGAAATTCAAGATTTAAGGGAGCAAAATCTGGACCTTGTGAATGGACAAGAAACAGAAAGTGGCCCTGGCCAACCCCAGCCCGGCGCTTCCCCCGTGCATGCGCACAGGAGCAGAGGTGGTATTCAGCAGGTTCTGACCCAGTTCTGGAGAACCAGTAGTGGAAATTTTGAGTAGTTAGGAGAACCGGCAAATACCACCTCTGACTGGAGATTTTACAGTATCCTTCCCCTGCCATGCCCACAGAACCCGTAGTAAAAACGTTTGAATCCCACCACTGCACAGGAGGTGGTGTTGAGCTGGCCACACCTACCCAGCCATGCCCACTTGGCGGCTGTGAATAATCGTCATAGTCTTACATGCAACTGGCCCTTTGAGGGCAACCATAATGCTGATGCGGCCCTCAATAACATTTGAGTTTGACACCCCTGTTTTAGAGAGTCATTTAAGGC